ATTAATAAAGGAAATTTTTTGTCAGAAAAATAAGAGCAATGAAAAAACGTCTTATTTAAAAAATTCTAACAAAAACGAAAATGTCAAATGCAGACTTTTTCGTAAAAAGAGAAAACATATTGCATTATTATAAAATATCTTTAATACTAGACCAGCAAACACCAGGAGGTAAACTCAATTGATATTCTCCGGATATTTTTTAAGAAGTGTAAAGACAGAAAAAAATATAATGACAAAAATAATATAAGAACAAGAAAAATTTCATCAATACTAATGTTGAAAGAAACAATTTTTTAAATTTAATAACTATTAAAATTAATAAGAAAATTATCTACTTAAAATAAAAAAGAACACTCAATGTTAAATTTTGAATTTTATTCTTTTTAAAAGAAACGATGAAAATTTCGAGAAGATGCTTGATATAATGCTGAGTTGTTCACGTTAATTACATTAATAAAAATAATTTATTTTATTATTTTGCAAACACCGAAAAAAAATATTAAAACACAAAAGAGATTTATAGGCCGGAGGAAAAGTGAGGCATAAATGATAAAATTACAATAAAAATATCTCTATATAGCTCTATAACTGATGGAGCGGCAGATAATGAGAAAACATTGATTAAAATCTTCCCGAAAGTGAGATAATTTCCATCAGAAATGATAAAGCTTTTTTATGTTCCACGACTATATAGCCCATAACGAAAGTATAGTCAAAAAAAAGGAAAAAAGCAGAATGAACAAAAAAAATTTATTGCTCGTTTCGTCAGCTTTACTCTATATATGTTATATGCATATCGAATATTAAATCGTTTTATTCTCTAACATGGTGGCGCCTGCATCGTTACGAGGAAAATTCATGCGCCCCACATTCAAGGAAGAAGAAAAACTTCATATTCTTTTGATTTTTGAGAGAAAAACGGCAAATCAGATGAAATTTTTTTCAGTTTTATGCCAACATATCAAGTGAAAAGCCACACAATTTTTCGTGCGCGACAATTCCGTTTAGAAAAGCTTGTATCTATATACACACAAGCTATGTGAGACAAAATGTGTATAGTGTGCAATAAATAAAGAAATATAATAATAAAAAAGTACATACATGTATTCATAAAACATATCTAAATTATTAATATTTATATGCAGATAAAAGCTTGTGTTTTGCATAAAAACAATGAGAAATGAACGGCACTGTGATGTTACGTGATTGAAACGACAAAAGCGATTTTCGCTCATGAAAAATAATTGAATGAATATTAAGGCATCTACTTACGTTCAATCGAGTGAAAATACACAAAGAAAGCTATAAAATAAATATAATGAATATAAAATGTAGGTTATATTAATATAACAATCCGCCTTTAACTTTTTTATATTTACACGATTCGAACTTTACGATTTTTCTTAATCTACAATTCTTCTTCCTCCTTAACCACCTTTCATAAAATTTAAATCATCATTATTAGTATAATATTGTTTTATTGGTGATATACCTCTTCCAATAAAGCAAAATATTGAACTGCTCAGTTTTTGATGCCTTTTCTTTTTTTATTTTTTTAATTATTGCGAAGCATGTAGTTTAATTATGTAGATATTTAATAGTTATGAATATAGAATTTAAACAAAATAGAAAAAATCATTAGGTTTCTTTAAATAGATTAGCTAAATTAAGAAAAAAAATTGGAATAATAAAACATTAAATACTATTTGACATGCTTGATTGTTACTTGAAAATTTTTTGGTAAAACTTTGAAAGACAACTCAAACTTTTCTAACCTTTTTAACCACGTTTTTTTAAATTAGAAAAATATTCTTGATTTGATAATGAAACATTAATTCAGAAGCAAATTAGGACACCTACACTATTTGAAAAATTATAAAAATATCAACAGTATATAGGAAGGTGAATAAAAGTATTGTTTTTAATATAATTTTTTCTCTACATCGAAAAATTTAAGTAATGTTGCCATCTGTTTAATAATTTACATGAAACTTTGAGTTTTAGTAACACTATGCAACAAGAACTTGTCTCATAAAAAAATATAAAGATTATTGCTTTAAAAATGTATTTCGTCGGTTTTAATTTTAATTAAGATCGTTTAATTTATTTAATGCAGTTCAAAATTGAGAGAAAAAATTAAAATGCGTGGATATTTGCGTGTGTTTACATTCTTGTACATATTTTTTATGAAAGAAATATGATGATGAAGATTAATTATTAACCTCCTGATACTATATGTTATGTGCACACATTGCTATTGAGTTAATATCCTTTGGCTTAATGAGAAACGCTTCCGTATATGTATTAGGCATTAGAGTGAGCGTGAGTGAAAGAGAGACATACGGTCTATTATGTTTGTGCATTTGTACGACAACAATTGGTTTACATTGTGATAGATTACAGTCGGACTTCACATCATTAACAAAATTTATTGCGCGAATCAGACAAATTACTTTTAATGTACGATAGGTCGACAATGGATCTACCGTTGTTCACAAATATGAGCTGATCTAAACTAACGTGCTCATTTAAATGTATCAAGTGCTTTTCATTTTAAGCACTAAGCTTATGTAAGCCACGTCGGGTATATAAAAAAGTGAAAAATAAAATAAAATTGATAGTGTCATGAAATGTACGCACATGAATCATTTTGAAAGTATTCTATACTAAAAATATATATGCGTAGTTAGGATCGCGCATCATCATTATGGACATATGACAAAAACGAAAACAATAAACAAAAAAAAAGATTATTATGATAAATTTAACATGGAAAAAGATAAGAATAAATGGCAGAGGAAAAAAGATATTTATGATTGCTCATAATATTCAGAACCATACACTTATTATTGTATAGAAGGCAGTGACATGAACAACTAGACCAAAAATAAATGTCCACAATCAACTTCAAAACACTCATCATTAATAAAAATAATCAAAAGGAAAATCACAGTGGATGGACAGAATTGAGAGCAGCAAAGAGAAGAAAAAAAAATGGAATAACGACAAAAATTAGTGTAAGGGTAAAGGGAAAAATATGAGGAGAGAGAAACATGTCGAGAGATTTCACAAATCTAGTCGACCTTTTTGTATTCAGAAAAAAAGACCCAGATGGCATAAAAATGAGCACACAGAGAAAAATCTTTGAATCATCACGAGATAATTGTAGACGAAAAAATTGATGTAAAAAACACAGAAAGCATCAAAGCATGTTTTCATTTTATTCTGGTGGTGCTAAGGTATTCATTTGAAAAGAATAAAGATTATTTTTATACACATTTAAGTACATTTGTAGAGTTTTATATACTCATAATCATATGTATCTCATACTCACGTATGTTTGTGTATGATGCCATGTGATGATTTTATCGCAATTGTTACTGCTGCCCCATAATTATTCACATCATGAAGAAAAAATAGCAGAACAGCAAACAAGAATGTGTTTACATGGAAAATTAGGTGCAATTTTCATACAACATACACGTTATTGTTGCTTCTCTATTTCTATTTTTGATAAGTCGTAAATTGTTATAATTTAGCTCATGCTATAAATTTTTCAATATATATTTTTCTCTCTCTTTTTCCACTTATTATTGTTATTATTGCTTTCTAAACTAATTCCTTTTCTTATTTATATATTAAACATAAGGCTGCAAAAGCTCTATTAAAAACCGCTCAATAATTAGTTCGACAAGGGAATGAATTTATAGCACGAAACACTTTTTTCCACCCCAATGAATTTTTCTAGCCGCGAAAAAGCGATCAACATTGTTTATTTTTATTGCCTTGGTGGTATCAAAACGCAAGGCGTTCTCATCGAAAAACTAAATTTAAAAAAGGCGAAAGCTTTTCAATTTTAAATTATGTAATAAAATTTTCCACTAAAAGTCATTTAATTAAGCAAAAAAAATTTTATATTTAAACATTTTGTTTTTATTTCTACAACTTGTGTTAAAAATTTCAAATATATTGAAAAATCACAATTCGAAAAACAAAAGGAGCCTTAAAAGCGTTCTGTATCTAATTGGACTGTTTTTGGAAAAGCTATTGAAATACTTCGTAAACAAGCAATAAATAAATAAATTCTAAATGAAGCAAAAGGGTTTAAAATTTTGATGTTTTACTTTTTTCAAAATTTCTAATTTTAGCATGTCTTTTAAAAATTTTTATTGTTGGTTTAATTTAACTTTAAGAGAATGAAACTTTGAATGAAACAAAACAATTCATAAATATTGCGTCATTACTATTATTATTATTATTTAAATTACCCTACGCAATAAATAATATTCAATTAATTATTTTTTTGGCCTCAAGAGCTATAATGAAAGTTATGAAAATATTAATGGATAAAACTTTCCTTGACTTATATTCAATTGCCTTGTTGTAAGATTACAAATTGCGTGACTAATTCATTCCTTTTTGCATTTCTCTTCAAATATTTTAGAAAATAATAATATAGAAATCGTGGTTTAATTGTAAATCTAATATAAGGGACTGCCAATAAAATTTTATTTTATTTTGCAAAATGAAAATTTTAAAATTTACGAAAATTTAGTATTTAATATGTGTATGTTTGATTTAGGCATCAAATGCTATCTTATACATTATTGATTAGCAAGAAAATAAAAGAACAAAAAAGTTGAAAACTGATTAAAATAAAAACCACAATATGACACGTTGTAAACTTTATATCACTTTTTTCAGTTAAAACTGGTTGAAACCAAACTGACACGAATACCACAAAAATTCAATAATTTTTAAAATGAAAATGTGATGAAAGAAATATTTTTTCCACGTTTCAGATGTGAATCGTTAGCATCATAAACTGAGCAATTTAGCTTTATTGAGTTTTCATCAGTATAGATAACTGATATTGATGATGACGATGAAAAGAGTAAAAAATATATTGAGAAATTAAATTACAAGATAAAAATGCCTCTTTTAGCTAAAATAAAGGAAGGAAGGAGTATATAATATCAAAAAAAATTATAAGGAACAAAAAGGAAGTGAAAAAATGCGTGAAGGAAAAGAAAAGCTCTGTCAAATTTAATTATAATGAATGCATTAATGGAAAAGTATATTATTTGTGCTCGAAAAGAATAGACAGTAATATTTAATAAATTTATATAAGCTATAACTGAAAGAAAAAACACCAGAAAACGACGAAAATTGATAAGCTTTCCCTTACTCTATCGATAATAAATCTTCATCTACAGCGAACGAATGAAACGTCGAGAAGTGGAAATTGAGCGAAAAACTGAAGACTGAAACTGAAAAGCCATTAAATTAAAAACATCAGTACAGCGTAATTTGATAAAGTAGAAAAAGTGAAGGAAAAAAAGAGAGATAAAAAAAGAGACGAAAATCTAAACATTTGCAAGATCATGGATATGTTTCAACACAACTCCTACGGCTTTGTTATACTTCTCTCCATTATACTTATTCAAGGTAGGATTTTACTTTGGCATTTTTATCATTTTATATTTCATAAAAAAAACACAAGTGAAATTTGATAATCCCTACTTAATCTGATATCAAACCAAATTCTTCCCATAGCTATAATTCTTCTGTACACCCACCTATATACATTAGAAATTTTTCATAATTGCTCTCCTGCATAAAATATCTAACGAGGTCGCAAATTTTTTCATTCATTCATTCACTCATTTCCCTTTCAATGAAATAGATTTAAATTTTTTTTTATACCTTCATGATACTTACTTCGATATTTTTTACTTTAACTTTTTCTATATCCAAATTTCTACCAAATATAAGAATATACCTCCATGTAAACTCCCTTTGCTTCAATCTAATGAATAAATGATGTAGAAAAGCTTTATCAAAAGACTCTACAATATGAGAATACTTATCTTTATATTTCTGACTCAAGCTTTTTTTCATTGAAAGAGGAGAAAAAAATATTGTATTGCCAACATAATGAAAGTAACTTGGGAATTTATCGCTTCTTGCTCTTTAAAATATCTAATTTTGCAATTTTACTCTGCTTGCGTATGTTTAAGACATGAATAAGATTTAATCGGTTTTTAAGGGAATAGGTTTTTGCGATTTCCCGGTTAGAAAAAAATTTAATTATAAATAATTTACTATTAAGATTCACATCATTTGAACACAAAAAAATTAAAAATCTTTTATTGGCACATAAGATATTTAAGATTTAATTTTAGTCTCGAAAATTTCGCAAAACCGGGAAATTGGGAGAGCCTATAAGTGAGTGAATGAATTTTCTGTTCTTTAACAATGTGACAGAATCTTTTCCTTCACATTTATTTTGTAGAGACGAGCTTGTTGTCTCCTCTCAATTAAACGCACTCTAATTTAGTTATCAATCAATTTAAATAGCAGTTTCCTCAAAGTTTTCTTCAGATTTTTCATTGCAAAATTAGTGGTTTAATGAATGAAACCTTTCATTGATTTGAGAATCTAAAAGAAGCAAGAAATAATTAAAAAGAACTATTATATGTATGGATGTGAAAACTTTTTTTTTTGTATTAATTTTAACGTTTTTAGAATTTTGTTTTTAAAAAAATCAAGCCTTATTAAAATTTAAAATGTTCTTACAGCAATAGATCATTGTTATAGATTGTAATGGCTGTAAAATTTTACTACCAAGTCGTTATCTCTTCATGTTTATTAATTATGAAGACAAGAAAGAGAAAATGTAAAAGTAGTAAAACAGGAATCCCTTAATCATCTCTTATAAAAGATATAAAATGGTTTACACTGTAAAGTAACAAATGACACGCATAAGTCGTGGTTGCTATATAAATTATGACGCGTACAAACACAACATCTATTCTTTCCTTTTGTGTCCTTTTTCAAGATTAACTTCGAGTCCAATTTATGTTGTTGATGTTTCTTTTTCTTTTTTCTTTTCATTTTTTTATCTTTTTTTTCTTTCAAGTAATGCGTTTGTTTGTTTACAGTGAGATACGCATGTAAACTTTATTAAAGCTTAACAGATGTTAAAAATTTACTTACAAACTTCATTTTTATATTAAGCCTTGCATAAATAAATGTGTAACTTATTACCACTTAACGCGAAACTTATCATCTTATATAAATTTAAATTATAAAATATTAAACGATTTATGCATTTGTGGAAGTGTAAAAACCATAAGTTTGACTTTTATTTAAAATAAAATTTGATGCAAACAAAAATAAATGGATTGTGAATCCAATTCTATATTGCTTTAAATCATCAAAATCATTCGCAGAATTTTCAAGTCAGTCAATTAAATTAAAATTTCCACCTTCCCACACTCTTGTCACTATTGACATTAATGAACAGACAATTTACATAATTTTTGCCAGTTTCATAAATGCCGTTGCTCTTTCTTTTCATTTTTTATAAAAGCCATTAAATCAATGAAAAATATCATTTATTGGTTTTATGGTTCTGCATTAAATCAATTCAGATTGAATCCTTTTTTAAATAATTTTTATAATTTTCTGGTTTCGATAAGCTATTAAACACTTTATTGCAAGTATTTTGTTATTTTTTTTTTTAAATTCAAATATTAAAGAGAATGTATTGTAAAGCCAATAAAAAACAAGTATCTGAATAAAAACCATAACTTTTATTTTTTTCTTCAGATGTTACTGAAAGTTTACGTTTAACTGAAGTGAGAATTCCTAATCATGTTATAAGAAATAACACTGTTAGATTAGAATGCCACTTTGATATGAATGGAGAAGCATTATATTCAGTAAAATGGTATAAAGATGGATACGAGTTTTATCGATACGTGCCACGAGATCATCCTCCTGCTCAAGTTTTTATGCAAAATGGAATTTATGTTAACGTAAGTATTTTTTCAATATCCTTAAGTAATGTTAATAAATCAATCAAATCAAATATGCTTTCCCCAATATCTACAGCTTCACAACTCATCCGATAATCAAGTTGTTTTAGAGAACGTTACGCTCGCTTCTACTGGTCGGTACCGATGTGAAATATCTGGAGAAGCTCCCTCTTTTACAACTGTTTCTGATCATGGTGATATGATTGTTGTTGGTATGTAACTCAAATTTTCTTTTTAAATTTATTTTGTTAAACATTTGCAGAGCAGCAGTTCTTTTAACAATGTATGCAAAATTGATATGCGGGAAACCAATTAAAGTATAAGAATTTAAATTTTGACTTTTCTTTTTCCTTAATTTTACACAAACTTTAACCAAAGGTAGAACAGCTTCTCGTAATATTGCATTAATAAAGCTTCAGTACGGTTCTTAATAACAGTAAGATACATGTACTCAAGTAGTTATTTTTAACGTCCATTATAAGCGTTTCTATAAATTTCGAAAATTAAATAATAAATAAAACATGTGCTCACATATACATGCATTGCGAAGTGGAAAAAAATAAGGATGCTAGAAAGAAAAAAATAAACAAATGGTTACATAATTTATATTTTTTACAACCATAAATTAGGAGTGGAGCAGTAATTTTTTTGCATAATTCATTTTCTCTCGCATTTGTTGTGTACACACATAACAATACAATGTGTTCTCTTCACATCTAGTGCTCTTTTAACACCTTGATCTCAAAGTTTCATTCTTAGACTATATTACTTTCCGTATAAATAATAAAACAAAAAGTTTATCATAGCATGAAGTGTATACTTGATATAAGTACAAGTGATTGACGTAAAAATATTTACTTTTATGTTATTTATTTCCTACAGCAACACCGGATCATGGTCCAGTCATCACAGGAGGTAAAGCACGCTATCAAATTGGCGATATGGTGAGGCTTAATTGCACATCGGGGAGATCCAAGCCAGCAGCACACTTACAATGGTTCATAAACGGTGAACCTGCCGATCCGATTCTTACACGCCAATTTGAAACGCTAGTAACAGGACGGGAAGGTAATGAAAAAAATTTATAAGCATGGACATATATTTATACAAACATATAAAATAATGTTCTTTATATACGTTTTTTTTCTCAAACATTATTTATGCGATAAAAAAGGCTTAGAGACGACAACATTGGGTCTAGAGTTTCGTGTACGTCAGCGACATTTCAAAAAAGGCGATATGAAATTAAAAGTATGAATAATTGACGTATAATTGCTAAATATTTGTAGCCAACAATATTTTCATGATGTTTACTTTTTTCTTTCCATATTATTATTTTCTCACAAAATGTCATTGTGACTCATCTTGACATGTCCAATCGTATATGTTTTTTCCATGATTCTCATGATAACGACTATAATAGTGCCTAGCTACCATAGCTTCAATCTATTGGAAAAGTAATGAAGAAAGCGTTGAAGGTGATAGACCTCTAAGAACTCCTTATTCAAGTCCGATTGAATCGAGAGAATCCGTTCCACCAAGCAGTTCGAAGGCTGATCGTGTTCAAGGTACAAAATTGCAATTCCCTGATAATTAATTTGATTTAAAAAACAATTTATGCTTCCCTTTTTAAAAAAATATAAATTTTGATTGTTTTCATTACAGCGTCAAACAGCTCAAAAAATACATCAATTTTTATAAACAGTGAAATAATTAAAACGTTATTATTCATAATTTCATCAACATTCTTTAGGTAACTATTTTAATATCAACATTTTTATCCTTATATGTATCTCCAATAAAAACGGAACCGAGATACATTTTTTAAATAAAATTTCATTATCGGATGATCACACATATCATCTATAAAAGGGAAGAAATGAAATTTTTTAATCGCCATCCAATACATCATATCACTTTATCATTCACATGCTTTTAATGGAATGAAAAAAAAAATTATACATATTATGTATACATATAGCAAAATTTTTATTATTTCTACGTAAAAATGTATCAAAAAGAAGAAAAAAAAATTGTTCAGCGTTTTGATGATAAACATTTTTAACAAGAGCGATTGAATAAAACAAAAATATAAAAATTAAAAATGTATGCCAAAAAAGTTTAAATGATAAACAGATTCTGAATAATTGAGGAGAAGGAATTTGTTATGATGTAGAGATGCCTCTATAATAAAATATTTAAAAAGGATATTGAAAGATAAATATTTTTTAATTAAAATTTATTTTGATTTACTAAATGTTCGACTGAATCAAGTAAATACGGAAGAACATCAAACACTACATATTGAATGATGTATAAAATGTTATCACAACTAGATAAGAAAAGTGCATTTTTATCACTATATCAATTTAATAATTACAAACTTTGCATTTCCAATATCCGACAGACAATTTTCTTGATAAACTTGAAAATTCCTATTTATCTTTTGTTTGACAGAACTGTGTGGTGCAGATTTTTATAAACTAGAGATTCTTATCACAATGTGATATTATGTGAGATTTTTCTTAATTTGTTAAGTTTTGAACTGGTAATTAATTTTATAAAATTATCAAAATGTCTCGATATCAACTTTTTTTAAAAGTACAACTGTTTTCGTAATTACTGCCCCGAAATCAATTTTAAATAGATTATTCAAAGTCTAGCTTGTTTTAAACATGATTAAAATAAATGATATCTCATCAAATCAGTCAGGCAAGATTATGTCTTGATGAAAAAATGCACTGAAAATGAAGATTATTGACTTTCCATAAAAATCTGTATGTTGTGTTATTCTCTTAATAAGAAATTAAAAATCATCTAAAGATATGGATTGAAGTATATTTACGATTAAATCATAAAATTTACATATAAAACTTAGGTAGAAAAAAAAAAATATTACAAAATTTTCCATGCACCAACTGTGCATCATTGATCCTTATGGGAATGATATCTGTGAATAATACAACATCCATGAACTTCATAAAATGCCCAAAAATATAAAACGAAGAGAAGAAATAAAACTTTTCTTAAGTTAACGAAAAAAAGATACATACCGAACCCATATAGAATAAATCAATGATATCATAAAGCAACAAAAGCTAAAATAGAACAGCAAGTATTATAGAAAAAACAATTGTTTGCCTCTTTGGCTGTCTTTATTAACAGTCAGTGGCATAAAGAAGAAAGCAGAAAAAATAAGACAAACTTTCTTATGAAAGAAATAAAGATGTTAAAGTTGTGTAAATATAACAAAAATAAAATTTATGTAAGGTTTCCATTCTCCGAAAAAGGAATAAAAGTAAAAAGATTCCTCAAAATGAAATAAATTTTCCTTTCCTTAAAAAGTTGCAGCGCGAAGTTATGTTTGTTCATTTACAGTGAAAAGAAAAAATTTCTAAGAGTTATTCATACTTATATTAAATATAATTAAAAGTTTAGTCTTTTCTATTATTTTAGGAGAAAAACTATAACGCTATTTAACTTTATATTGCTTCATTAGAATGAGAAATTATTTTTAAAAAAATTAAGATTTTTTAAAGTTATGTCCTCTCATTTACATTAATGCACCTTAATATTCTGAGTATACAATAGAAAGTCTTGCTATTATAATGAAGTTTTCAAAGAATTTTAGATACAATATGCTGCCTTTTTACTTACTTTTTATTAAGAACCTTACAAATACTCTCAATTGCTTTGTTGAAATGGGCTTGATGAATGGATTAAATTATTATAAGATGGTTGAATTTGGAAAGCTAATTTAAATAACAAAAACTCATTTAAATTGTTTTTAAACATATTATTGATTTATATGAAGTTTTAAAGTTTTTGTCACAAATGACTCAAAAATTGATAAAGTTCTAACAAAAATACTATTAAATAAGTTTTCCAGTAGCAATTGTTATCCTTTTTAAATTCATTTTTTGGATTAGTTGACTCTAAAATTTTTCATATCAAACGATTGTTATTATTTTAATTTATTTTAATAAAATGATTTAATTTTCATCATCTTTAAACATGATAAAATGAATAGAATAAAAAAGATTGACATAATTGTATTAAGAGATAAATTATAAAAAAATGAATGTCAATTAATTAATATAGTTTCTTTTTTTTGAACATATAACTACCGTAACTTTATATAAGATAAATCAAACCAAATTCTTCTTTTTATCCTAACAATTAAAAGAAACTCTTTGTAAATATATAAAGAATTGGAAACAAAAAGGTAAAACAAACGAATTATGACGAAAATTTACATCGAGAAGAAAATTTCTCATCGAGTTTGCAAAATACAATTAACAGAAGCCATATCATTTATGATTAAGGAATAAAACCAACCAGGAATAAAAATATGATTGTGTATATCAATGTCATTGTTTAAATGTAAACGATTTAACTTTAATATCACAAGCTTACATCAGAACTCACTTTTAGAAATAATTATATTTTAAAACAACTTTTAGATTATTAAAGTCAAGAAAATATTGTTTACTTTCATATAATTATTTTCCTAATAAGACATGAAACGGTCTTTTTGTTAAAATTTATTAAAAGCCAAAAAAAGAATTTTATGAAAAATAAAAAAAATTATTTTGCAGAAAATTTACTCATTATTATGGATATTACTGAAATTTAGATCGGTTTTTATTTTTCAGATGTTAATTATAATTAATGACTTAATCAGCATTGTTGTTTTAGACAAATATCCCTAACAGACAAAGAGCACGATCTGAGCATGATTTTTAAAGATCAATTTTTTAATTTGATGACGCTAAATTAGCGTACTTTCCCATAAGGAGATCGCAGCAGGGTACAACAGAAATCACGCTCTCAAGAGTACGCTTTTTTACTTGCAAATTATTCATGCAAGTTAAACTTGAGATCATGATCAAGAACATGTTCTGCTGATCATGCTTTAATTTTACTATTTAAAAAATTTTATGAGCTTGTGATTATGCTCTTGATCATGTTTTTGAGAAATTGATATTTTCTTCGTTTTTGGTGATTGCCGTGATTTGAACCTGCATACGCTGTGTTGTGGTTGTCCTGATAACTGTTCATCTTGTCTAATGCCTTTTGAAATTAAATAACGTTTAAATGGCTAAAAGACATATTTAAACTATAGAAAGTCCAAAATAATTGGTTATAATAGTGATTTCTGCTAGCGCTTGTGAAGTATATAGCAAGAAATATTTGAGCATAATCTCATGAGGATGTCAATGATCATGCTTTTTATAAACTCCTCTGATCATGCTCTTGAGAGTATAAAAAAGATTACGAAGGAAAAACTTGCATGCAAGTTATTTACAATTAGAGGATGATTGAGTCCGCTATTGAACATGCTTTTTACGGGGATCTTGAGAGGATGTTAAAAAAGCGTATTCTCAACCGAGCATGCTCATTGTCTGTTAGGGATATCACGAATTTTATTATTGAACTAGTAAAACCTTATTACAAAGCAATGAAATTTTGTACAAAACAAATTCAGGCCTAGATAACATACCTAGCAAGAAATTCATGTTGACCCAAATAAATTGTAATGAATGCAAATTTAATGTAATTTTCTTAAAGCTTGTATGGTAAGTATGTTCACACTAAAAATATATTTAAGAATTATTTGACATTTACGACTCATAAAAACAAAGTTTAAATAATTAAATAGATGGCAGGAAAAGATGTTTTAATCACACATTCCAAATAAAAACGTTTTACGCCAAGGACTATGAAAAGCACGCTGTCAGTTAAACTTTAAATATTTTGAATTTTTTCCGCATTTTTTTCGATAATGTTTACGAAAGTTCGAAAATGAATTTTTTCATAAATTCACATTTAAAGACAATTTTGGTTCTGTTTAAGCATGTTGATGTAATTATTGAGTGATAATAATCGATTTGCAACTGTCATAGCTTAAATTATGCTTCAAATAGATGAAAAATTTGCAATTGAAAATTTTTGTCATAAATTGTAAACAAACTTGTTTTGTTGACAAAAATTGGAAGATAAAATTTGAATCAATCGAAAAACATTTTTACAGCCTTATAAAACTAAAACCACTTAAATACAATATAATTAAGTAGTTTTGAATCTTTACACGTGCACTTTAAAATTCGAGTTCGAATTTTCATCAACTATCCATAGTCCTTGGGTTTTACGTTAAGGGGTCGTTCACTTATTACGTTCGCTTTTAATTGAAGTTCGAATCGAATTCAGTTCAATCAAAGGAATGTTATTGCATACAAATTTTGTAACAAGGGAACGAGGGGGGCTTTAAAAAATTCGTTTTTTGCGTAACGTAATAAGCTAACGTGCCCTTATTCAATTACACATGTATATGCTTATGCTAACAAAAATAGGCTCCTATTTCTAAGAACTTTTAGTTCTTCGGTTATATTTTCACTTGAATATGGAGATACATAGTCACCCACAGCTAAAAGGTTGGAGAGTTTGCTCATTAAACACACTTTTTCTGTTGTATGAACAAAATAAATATGAAAATAAATTCATATTAGCTTGCATTTGTTTATACAAATATCACATAACAGCCAATTGATATGTATGTGGACATTTAAAACATTATTATTACCAATAGTGAAGTCCTCAAAATAAATTTGCATAAGCAATCCTTGTTATATGCTTCATTAATTAATAGTATGCTCTGATTAAATGATGCATTTTATACCATGTTTTGAAATAAATGTGAAAATTTCACTTCCTTTACAATCATTGAGATGGATAATGGTTCAATGAGCAATGCTGTTTCGATATTTACTGCTTTTGTATTAGAAAAACAAATATATTTTTGATTTATGCTATAGTACATTAAAACACGATGAAATATAATAATTAATTTAATTAAAAAATACATATAGACAGTTTATTACATCATGAATTCTTAAAACAAACATAAAAAAATTGTATATTAATCTCTTGTTCTAAGTCCCCATATAGATGTTCTTCTAGGCATTACAGTCGGACGAGCAACTGAGCTATGAATAAACTTATTTATGCCAATATTTTTGAACGTCTTTTCTAGCATTTGAAGTCCAGCATCAGAAAGAAGATTAAATACATCCAAAAATAGAAGGGACTTTACATTATTTAAAACTCTGTAAAATGATATTTAAAAAACCCGATTAGAAAATTATCAAAAAAAGTATACTGCACATTTTAATTTAACTTACAAATATGACGTCATAGGAATATTGTAGCATCTTGACAACGATAAATATTCCAATTTAGTAAGAGCTGTAACAGCTTGAATAGCTACAGACGTCAGTAATGTGCAATCTGATAAATCAAGTTCGACAATATTAGGACAACGATTAATAAAAATTTGAAGACCTATTTAAAAAATAAAACATTTAAAATTTATAAACAAAAAAATAATAAAGTTTTTTCTTAATAATTACTTATATCAGTCAAACTTCGCCGACATCCAGATATGTTAAATCTCATTATCGAAGGAGTTATGAGTGAAACGATTGCTTCTACACTTTCACTGCTCAAATTAGTCCATGAAATATTTAATGCTGTTAAGGACTGTAGATTAGCCATTAAGATAATGACAGATTCTTGATTTAATCCTTCGCACATTGCAAGATTAAGCACTTCTAAATCTCGACATTCTGCTATTTCTTTACAAACATTTATGTCAACTGGAACATGTTCTAAGCTTAGTTTTTTTAATGAATGACAAGTTTTAAGAAGCTGAGCTAATGAAGTTACATCAATCGATGCTAAACTTAAATCCAAATATTGTAATTTCGATTGAAATTCTTGATCACGAAAATGTGATTCAAATATTGGGCTTTGTATTTTTGCTTGCGCTAAACGTAGTATTATGAAGCCTCTTGAAAATATCTTTCCAATAGAGCCACGCTTAAGAGCACGATTGCCTAAATCCATACGAATCCAGAGTGATTCATCTAATATAACACGACTAAATCTAGTGTTTACTAATGCTACGCGATGTAGTGTCTTCTTTGGAAGATATTGAAAGATATGAAGCAATATTTCTTCAGACAACAATTCAAACGGATTCACTAAGTTTTGTTCATTTACATCCAATTTTTTATAAGTTGATTCACTTCTTTTCAATGGAGTCTTTGATGATGACGGTTTACTTACATCCTGTTGACTGGAAGTTTGATTTATTGTCTTATTGATTGTCGTTAGTGGTGATCTCTTACTAAATGAAGAGCTAATTACTCGTTTCTTACTTGACTTATTAAAAAAACTTATATCACTATCATTATCTTCATATACTGTCACGGATAAATTTTCAGGATCTTCATTGTTTACGCATTTTAATAAATTATTTTCAGACATCTCACAATCAATTTTTCTTCGTTTAGAACTGTAAAGAAGTATATTAATAAATGAATTTGATTAATAAATGACAAGAAAAACCATTTCTTACCTCTCTAATAGCGTTGTCTTACAGTTATTTTCCTTAGTTATAGATTTATTCATTTCGAGCGCTAAAATTAATTTTGACAGTCCGCGTAAAAAGTGAAAATACGAATATACTACTATTTGTTGTAAATAAGTTTTATTTAACATTTACATTTTGTATGACTAGTACAATTAAAAAAGTTCCTTAAAATTCAAAATTAATATTATCTTTATTGATTTTCATCAACTTTGTCGGGTAAAACAATATAAAATTCTTTTACGGACTCATACAATAAAAACATGGATTGAACCGTTTGAATTGACTAATTTATTGTAAAACTATCAACTATATATATGGGTTTGTATTTTGCTAAAACTCTCATTCACTTATTTCATTAAAGATGGGGAAGAAGGGGGTCTAAGGAGATTTGAACAATGGGTTTTCCAAGAATTCTATACCAGAGTTGCGATCTGTCACAGGTCAACGAAAACAGCCCATCTGTCACAGGCCGTTACCTGTTCACAGGTCAAATTTTTTCGCCTGTCACAGGTCTGATCTGTCTAAGGTTCTACCTTTCACAGGCCTCCACCTGTTGACAGGTCAAATTTTCCCACCTGTCACAGCTCTGACCTGTCGCAGGCCCCACCTGTGACAGGTCGTCACCTGTTGACAGGTAGAAAAAATCTCCCTGTCACAGGCCCTTGATACCTCTTGTGAAGTATAAAGATTTCATATAAAATTCGTCAATTTTTTCTTCCTCAAGTCACTGGTTCAAACCTCATCGCAAGCAACTTTCTTTTTAACTTCCACGCAAAAGCGTGTAGGAAGGACTCATTTTCAAAAATCTCAAAGGGTACCAAAATGTGTGTATTAGGTGGCCGGATTTTTCTGTACATAAACTTTTACATTTGGACATCATCTATGCCTTCAAAACGACAAAAAACGTCTTTTTTGGGTCTACACATTTGGTAATCAGGTTCACAGCCGAGCCATAAGGGTCTCGGAAAATAATTCTTTTGCCATTTGATCAAACTACATAAGCAATTAGGAAGATCAAAAGTCATTTTTCAAAATTCTCAAATTTTCAGTAGTTTTGAAGCTGTCAAAGTTAGAAAACCTAGGAAAAATGGTCATTTTCTTAAAATTCTTGCGGCACCAGACTTTTTTTCAAACAAGATATTATATTGAGTTCCATCTTAAAATCCTCAGCAAGAGCTTTACAAAAATACCCCATATGACTATATTTTGACTTTACCATGACTTGCTAAAGCCTCTTGAAAATCGAAAAAATCGATTTTATTATCTTTATTAGCATTCTTTATCATTTATAATACCTAGATATGTTTTAAAATGCAATTTAAAGCATTTTTGATTTCGATCAAAGGAGGCTATTTTCAAAAAAATATCGATTTTATATCTTTTTAGCAATCTTTATCATTGATAATACCTAGATATGTTTTAAAATGCAATTTAAAGCATTTTTGGTTTCGATCATTGTAGGCTATTTTCAAAAAAAAAATATCGATTTTATATCTATATTAGCATTCTTTATCATTTATAATACCTAGATATGTTTCAAAATGCAATTTAAAGCATTTTTGATTTCGATCATAGTAGGCTATTTTCAAAAAAAAATATCGATTTTATATCTATATTAGCATTCTTTATCATTTATAATACCTAAATATGTTTTAAAATGCAATTTAAAACATTTTTGATTTCGATCATAGTAGGCTATTTTCAAAAAAAAATATCGATTTTATATCTATATTAGCATTATTTATCATTTATAATACCTAGATATGTTTTAAAAAGCAATTTAAAGAATTTTTGATTTCGATCATAGTAGGCTATTTTCAAAAAAAATATCGATTTTATATCTATATTAGCATTCTTTATCATTTATAATACCTAGATATGTTTTACAATGTAATTTAAAGCATTTTTGGTTTCGATCATAGTAGGCTATTTTCAAAAAAAAAAAATATCGATTTTATATCTATATTATCATTCTTTATCATTTATAATACCTAGATATGTTTAACAATGTAATTTAAAGCATTTTTGGTTTCGATCATAGTAGGCTATTTTCAAAAACATATCGATTTTATATCCTTTTAGCAATCTTTATCATTGATAATACCTAGATATGTTTTAAAATGCAATTTAAAGCATTTTTGGTTTCGATCATAGTAGGCTATTTTCAAAAAAAAATATCGATTTTATATCTATATTAGCATTCTTTATCATTTATAATACCTAGATATGTTTTAAAATGCAATTTAAAGCATTTTTGATTTCGATCATAGTAGGCTATTTTCAAAAAACATATCGATTATATATCTATATTAGCATTCTTTATCATTTATAATACCTAGATATGTTTCAAAATGCAATTTAAAGCATTTTTGATTTCGATCATAGTAGGCTATTTTCAAAAAAAAATATCGATTTTATATCTATATTAGCATTCTTTATCATTTATAATACCTAGATATGTTGCAAAATGCAATTTAAAGCATTTTTGATTTCGATCATAGTAGGCTATTTTCAAAAAAATATCGATTTTATATCTATATTAGCATTCTTTATCATTTATAATACCTAGATATGTTTTAAAATGCAATTTAAAGCATTTTTGGTTTCGATCATAGGAGGCTATTTTCAAAAAAAAATATCGATTTTATATCTATATTAGCATTCTTTATCATTTATAATACCTAGATATGTTTTAAAATGCAATTTAAAGCATTTTTGGTTTCGATCATAGTAGGCTATTTTCAAAAAAAATATCGATTTTATATCTATATTAGCATTCTTTATCATTTATAATACCTAGATATGTTTTACAATGTAATTTAAAGCATTTTTGATTTCGATCATAGTAGGCTATTTTCAAAAAAATATCGATTTTATATCTATATTAGCATTCTTTATCATTTATAATACCTAGATATGTTGCAAAATGCAATTTAAAGCATTTTTGATTTCGATCATAGTAGGCTATTTTCAAAAAAATATCGATTTTATATCTATATTAGCATTCTTTATCATTTATAATACCTAAATATGTTTTAAAATGCAATTTAAAACATTTTTGATTTCGATCATAGTAGGCTGTTAAAAATTTGTATATAATTAAATATTTTAAAATTTAAAAGAAACCATTTTATCTAGAAAATTATTTTCTCAAGGTTATGCATGACTATGAATAATTCTTTTAAGACGCATTTATCCAACTTTTATCTTAATTTAGACATGAAACAATATAAGAAACACTTACTGACTTTATCGATATTGAACCTGTGAAGAAACTTAGCTAGATCCAGTTGAAACACGATGAATTATTTCTTTATACTTTATTTAAAAAAATAAGCTGCTCTGGATGTGTCTTCAATTATCTTTTATCTCAAAATTTCACTCCAAATTCTCCAACTTTATATTTAAAGCCTTTACAGCTTCAGAAATCACTTTGAATTAATTATTATGTGCTTAAATTCCCGCACGTGATGGAAGGTGGTGGAAGGTTCAATAAACCTAAGAAAATTATATTTAATTTTACCTCTAAACATTTCAATTCCTTAATTTTTCATTCTTAACTTACTTTCTTATCTTTCAGCAAGTGCTATTTAGCATAATTTCTTTTTTAATTATTTTAAAACACGATTTAATAAAATTTTGATTGTGTGGACTTTCACAAAATTTTCTGATCTGATCCAATATCACTCAGGATCCAATAATTTGCTCATTGAGCTTTCAAATTTAATAAAATGTTATTAATAACATTAAATATGAGAAAAATATTATTTTCTCAATAAATATATAATTCATTGAATGCTACATGCCATAAAATTATTAAAATTAAATCGAAATTTTCTAACGACTCTTTCTGAATTCAAACTTTAATCAAAATTTTTTACGGATCAGAAAATTCAAATTCTAAAATGACAGTTGGTTTGGATTTCAATTTTAACGAACTTATTTGGTTCAAATTTAACCACTTTAAAGTGTATTTTGATATGTAAATGTAGTTCAAAATTTTATAACGAAAATTTTTTCGACACACCCAGCCAAACGAAATTCTTTACACAATAAAAATAAAATTTTAAACATTAAAAGGATAATAATAATAACATGGAATGTTTGAAGATAGATTATTTGCAACGACTGGATTGAAATTTGCAGGAAAAGATGAAATTCGTTGTGCAGGTTGACTTATTTGTATCATAGGAAAAGATTGTAAAGTATTTCCACTTGATACGTTATAAGGATTGACATTATTCATTTGATCTAGATTTGGTAATTGCCGAATTTGAGGTGTTAATTGTTGTTGACGTACATCGTTATTATTATAGATTGATGAATTTCTTAATGCAAGACTTGTCTCTCTTTCAGTCATCAAATTATTAAGTCTGTTGTTTGTCTGTAATAACTGACTTTCCAAATTCTTAATAGCTTGTATAGCTGACTGTTCACGATGGTCTCGGTATTCACGATGTTGACGATGATCATAATGCTCAGGAACTCTTGTTGTTCTCCTGTATGGATGAAATCTGCTATTGTGTGATTGAGAAAAATTAGCATTAGTAGCAATAACTATATTTTGAGACATGTTTTGTGATTCCGTGCAAAAGTAATTGTATTCGTGATAAACATCAGACCAATCTACTTCGTAGTGTTGATTTCTCAGCAAAATTAGGAGCTGAGTTGCGTCAATATTTCTTCTCATGGCAATAAAAGAAGAACTTTTATTTGATATTAAATAATCAATCTCAAATTTGGCCTTTCCTATCACTTTAGCTACTAAATCCAAGACATTTTGAGATTCCAGAGTCTTGAACTTTAGAGTTCTGTCTTTTAAATTTGACATATTTCTCATTTCACAGACCACGTATTTCATGCCTACTACATTATAGTATATTACATAATCATCAATCGTAAGTTTATATCCAGCAGACTCTAATTTATTAGTGTCCATAATTTTTCTTATTAAATATGGTTTCCTGTACTCAACGATCAAATTGTATCTATCCTCCTCTGCAGATTCTCTTTTTATGAAGCCTACGCCTTTATATTCATTGACCTGTATTTGAAACTGTCTATTTAGG